AAAGGCTTATAAGCACTTTAATTTTGTATATAACGCGAAATGTTATAGCTCACTTACGCCGATTTTTATACACCTTTCCCCTGCTCTGTCATGCATGCCAACAACAACTTAAATTCCTGTTTGTAAACATACCATGAGCTAGTACACTAAAACGTATAAGTTTAGGAGCGTTCCATTCCACTTGCTTCATCGTGATTTAATGCTCACAGCGGCCCAGTTAATTAACTATTTTTTAACTTGATGATTCATTGACAGACATAGACGAATGTGCCAAAGGTACACACAACTGTCATGCTGATGCCAACTGTACCAACACCAAGGGATCGTTCTACTGTACCTGTCATACGGGATACTCAGGAGATGGAGTCACGTGTGTTGGTGAGTTCTTCAGAGTGTGATACTATGTGCAATGAATTTTTGTGTAGGGATGTTAGCTATCTAATTTTTAGTGATTGTAAATGTAAAAAAGAAAAAATATATTGCCGAATGTTTTTGAATAAAAAGCATTTAATCTTAAATGATTAGCCAAAACTCTGGGGTGCACATAGTGTGCATGTGATTCGACTTCAATGTAGTAGGTGTCATGTTGTATAAACATGCAGAATATCTATGACAATTTTGTCTTTCTTAAAGCAGACGAAGTGACCATGTCTTCTTAATGCTACAGATAAGAATGTGACTACCGGAAAAATTACGATTCTATCAGTAACCATCGTACCTACAATTCTGTTTAGATATAGACGAGTGTGAACCAAAAGAACTAGCCCCTTATCATGAGCATTACGCACACAACTGTCATGTTGACGGAGTCTGTACCAACACCAAGGGATCATTCTACTGCACTTGTCAAACCGGTTATACCGGAAATGGAACCTATTGTACTGGTAAGACGTGTAACACTAGCATATCTAGTTTAACAAATAGCTATTTAGTTTGTTCAAATAAGTCATCGCATAAGCTAAAATCTACCCACGAAACATCCTAATGAATAAGATTTTCTTTATAGATGGATTTTGAATAGATAAAATGGTGGATTTTGTTAGAATTCGATGACTTCTTGTTCAAACTCAATATGGATCAGGAGTTTAAAGCCCCTCCCCTCCCTTGCTTTTAAACTGCATTTACGTTATCTAAACAACTGGACAATTTATCGCCAACAAAATATGGACGTAAGGATAGTTGTATAGGACCAACGACAGTAAATACCGATTACTGGAGAACCTGTCATTTGAAAAGACTTGCTCCAAGTCGACCTTTCTGAGACTCAAGTAAAGTAAACTGAAGCGAACGTCGATAAGTCACGAGAGGTTCTGCGATTATAATCCTGGTTGGTCTGCCTGTGCTTTATCGAGCGTGAACACTGACTATAAATATACTCAACTAATACGAAGACGAAGTCTAGTCATTTGACTAGAAGAACAGGTAAGATGACTACTTTGATTTGCTATTGACAATTTGCAATATGAGGCTTTTAGTTAGAGACAGTACTGAATAACAACAACAATATACAAACAAAGATACAAAGAAAACAAAAGGACAAAATAAAACAAATGAGCAACAAAAACAGCAAACTTAGAGGGGGGACAAAATAAAACAAATGCGCAACAAAAACAGCAAAACTTAGAGGGCAAAGAAACAGGCTCAGTATATTTATCTGAATATGAGCAGTGATTTACTGGAACTATCTAATAAATGGACAGATCTACACGGACTGTACTGACCGTAAACAAACTAACCGTACCAAGGGCAAATGACATGACCAAACTGGCAAATAGGAGTGTGTGACAGTCACTCCTTCAGTGAGGCCAAACACTATATAACAAAACTGAGACCAATGTTGAATTTAGTGAATACCAAAAACTCTTACCTAATGAAGGCGATGACCGAAGCTTGTATTTCAGATTTGCCTCAAATCATATCCGCACACTGATGTGGCGACGAAAAAAACGTGTAAGTATTATCACAGGTATATCCCACTTGATATAAGATATAATTTTGGGTTCAAGTCTCTAATTATGACATCAAATCGAGATTTTTTAGATTATTACTCAGACCGAAGTTTAAAGATTGCTAGCTAATTATCAAATCTACATTTTCTGATTTTCTTTTCTTTTCTTTTCTTTTCTTTTCTCGAGCTTTTATTTTAATGATGGGCTTCCTTTGCTTTCATCAAATTCTCGGCAAATACCGAGCAAACGACGAAAACGCGGCTGGCACCTTTTGGCGGGAAAATGTTCTAATACCATTTTCGCTTTTGTGGAGCACTGTTTTTCTTTTTCAAAGTCCACTGTCAATATCTAGCACTTTTGTAGCTAAGGTTTTGTACTTCAAAAAACATTGAAAATGGTATCTTTCCTCACAAAAAAATCTCACAGCCGTTACTTACTTTGATCAACGTTTGATTGTGAAAAAGAAAGCAAGAGATGAAGCCATTTTATTGCTGGTTTTATCAAGGAATGACGACAAGTAAAATATACTTCATATATAAACCTTATTGCGTTTTTCAACTGCCAGGACCGCCTTTTTACTTTTATACGATCCTATATAAGCTTCTAATAGTATACAAATATAGGGACAGGTTTTTGTCAACTTTACTACATACGAAGGCTTAGCACTTGCAAGTTCGATCGGCAATATTAATTTGATGATATAGCCAGGTAAGTGAAATATCAGTTAGTTAAACCTTAGCTCATAAGCCAGCCAACTTTATACCCTCGCTGCTATAAACCGTAACACAACATTTCTATTTTGCTATATATTGTTTATTTTTGTTTGAGTTGTTTTCATAAACTCATGAAACCAAGTGTATTTAATAGTTGCCGATATACGCAATAGAAAACAAACAAACAAACAAACAAACAAAAACAAAAACAAAAAAAACAAAAGAAAAAGAAAAAGAAAAAGAAAAAGAAAAAAAAAAAGAGTGTAATAGTAATTAGGTTAGTGTGTTTCACGAGTTTATGAAAACCACTTTATTGGCAACCACCCGACAAGTTGACTTTTCTTGAGAAACCAAAAAGAAAATCTCAGTTGTACTAACTTTCTTATTGAAAACATAACATAACTTTACTGTTTTTACTTTACATAACTCACTTCAGGACTTATCGTTGTTACCTTGCTAACTCTAAAAGACAAAGCGAGCGTGGCATATAGAGCTAATCGAGGACCTAGTTTACTAATTGTCACAATCCCAAAAAGTAGCCTTTAATACTATTGCTAGTACTCAATAAGTAACTGAAACTGATACACGACTTATCATGCAAAGGAATGACATATTCAGTATCCGACTAACTGAAGGTCTGAACCGAAAACTACACTAATAGCTTGTTTACTGGTACTGAGCCTGATTAACTTACTGTAAAGTGCTGTTGGTGTCGCTATCAGTTGCTGATACTAAGCACAGTATAAGAGTTCAGTTTCATATCGTTATCGGTAAGAAACGTAAAAGATCATGGCACTGATTTGCCGGCATAAAGTATCACGTAATCTTACTCCTGATCCTTTAGTAAAAGGATATTCTTGATCCTATTTCAAGAATATTTGAACTGCCATATGTCATTTATTTCCATAAGTAAGCAACAAGTTCTCATGTCCAAAATAATTTTACAGATATAAACGAATGTGAACCAACTTCTCTGGCTCCACATCACAGTCACTACGCCCATAATTGTCATGTAGATGCTCATTGCGTAAATACCAAAGGATCCTTTTATTGTGCTTGTAAAGACGGATACTCAGGAGATGGAATCACATGTACAGGTATATAATGTTGACACTGCAGCACAACCCCTTTGCTTTCTTTGTCTTTCATGACATGGGCTTGCTCAATGGAGAATTTGTACGCCTTGGGTAACAGTTTAAATTTTAATCCAACACAATTTAAAACATTATAATTCAAATGAACATAAAAAAAAGAAATGGGAAGGTTTAACAAGTTTTGATAAAAAACGCCAAAGGTACGGGCGCGACCGAAGTTGCCCCCCCCCCCCCTCCCATGCCCCCTAAAACTGATTAATTTCCTTGTAAAAGCCATAAAATCCATTTCATCAAAACCTCTTCAAGCATTCTAATTTTACTAACTTTGGTATGCTCTTTCCAAATAGATATATTTTTGTATTGCATTAAAATACTAATTGTAACGCAAGGTGTGCAAATTCCCTATTTATTTTTTTCACCATTCCTGGCAGTGAGACACACGAATGCCTTACTCAGGTGCTTTTCCACGCCTCAATATGAAAGCCCGCGTTAATTATAAATGTTATGTTTTGTTGTAGACTTTAATGAATGCCAACCTGGATCATTGTCGGCAAATTATAGCAAATTTGCTCACAACTGTCATGATGATGCTAACTGTACCAACACCAAGGGATCGTTCTACTGCACCTGTCATACGGGATACTCTGGAGATGGTGTCACGTGTGTTGGTGAGTATTTACATTTTGTCACTAACGACACAAGGCCTTTTTTGTATTACATTCGCCCAATAGTAAAAGTGCCGAATACAGTCAAGAAAAAATAAGCCCCCGTACTTTGTGCTCAATGCACGCATATGGGGAGGTGGCTATACTTAGTATGAAGTATAAATGAAAAAAAAATTTCGATTCAGAAAGACTGAGAGTAGTGTAACGGGAATAATTCTGCAAGATTTAAAACCAAGAAAAACTGACATATCTAACTAATGCGAAATACTTACTTTCTGTTAGTACGCCACGTAAAAATGTCGTTTTGTTAAACAAATCATATATAATAGATAAACTATATTAAATGAAATTGCAAAATTTATGTGACTTTTATACAATTTAATTGTTGGGAAATCCCGAAATGAAATTTTAAGAAAACCCTAAATAAGAAAACATTCCACTTCGTTTACTGCTAGTAGTTCAATTAATCTGCAATTTAAAGGGTGAAGAAATTAGGCCGAAAGGAAAGGAAAAGAAAGGAAAGGAAAGGAAAGGAAAGGAAAGGAAAGGAAACGGAAGGGAACGAAACGAAACAAAACGAAACGAAACGAAACGAAAAGAAAGGAAAGGAAAGAAAAGTAAAGAAAAGTAAAGGAAAATTATTGATGAAAAGCTATTGTAATGTTTTTTAACTAAGTCGTCTCTTTTTGACAGATATTAACGAATGCCTTCCTGGACTTTTATCACAAAATCATACTCATTATGCACACAACTGTCATGCTGATGCTAACTGTACCAACACCAAGGGATCGTTCTACTGTACCTGTCATACAGGATACTCGGGAGATGGAGTCACGTGTGTTGGTAAGTATGACAACTTACAAAACTATCTTCTCTTGTGATTGATTTGTGGTGAAGCATTACATGTACATGAAAACAAACTTCCTTCCAACAGACATAAACGAATGTCAGACATCAGCTCTTTCCCCCTACCATGGTCACTACGCTCACAACTGTCATGCTGATGCTAACTGTACCAACACCAAGGGATCGTTCTACTGTACCTGTCATGTTGGGTATTCAGGAGATGGAGTCACGTGTGTTGGTAAGCTTGATATAAATCGGCCCTGTTTTTTACATAGCCAGTAGCTATTAAATCTGCGGCCCTCGTTTATTGATTGATTAGGAATTCGGGTGTTAAATTTGCAGAGGGAGAAAAACCGGTAACCATAAAAAACCCTCAAAGCACAGCAGAGAACCAACAAGCAACTCTACTCTAATACGACACCGAGCCCGAGAATGGAATTCTTGTCGCATTAGTGAGATGCCAGCGCTATCACCGCTACGTCATCCGTCCTTCCGGTTAATGTGTGTTCAAATTTGCAGTCAAAACAGTGATTGAGTGCAGTTATTTGGAAAGATCTTTTAATCATCTTGCAAGATGCAGCTTCAGTCGAATTCTATGTTTTAATAATTGGGTAACATGTTACAGACCGAATAGGATCGATTACTTTAAATGATCGCTTTTTTTCCTCCTCCAGATATCAATGAGTGCCATTCCACGGCCCTAGCGGTATATCATGGTCACTACGCACATAACTGCCATGCTGATGCTAACTGTACCAACACTAAGGGATCGTTCTACTGTACCTGTCATACGGGATACTCGGGAGATGGAGTCACGTGTGTTGGTGAGTAACAAATCCTTCGATTTCATTTGAAATATTTTAAAATTTAACAATTTCACTTTTTACACAATGATAGATATCAAGGAGTGCCAGACCACAGCCCTAGCAATATATCACGGTCACTACGCTCACAACTGTCATGCTGATGCTAACTGTACCAACACCAAGGGATCGTTCTACTGTACCTGTCAGACGGGATACTCTGGAGATGGAGTCACGTGTGTTGGTAAGCATTTAATCAAGCCCCTCTTAACTTACCAAGCTAATGATATAAATGTGAACCTTCTCTTTACTAAACTGCAAATTAAATGACTATTTATATGAATTTAAGATATCAATGAGTGCCAGACCACAGCCCTAGCAGTGCATCACGGTCACTACGCGCACAACTGTCATGCTGATGCTAACTGTACCAACACCAAGGGATCGTTCTACTGTACCTGTCATGTTGGGTACTCGGGAGATGGAGTCACACGTGACACGTGACTCCATCTCCTGAGTATCCCGTATGACAGGTACAGTAGAACGATCCCTTGGTGTTGGTACAGTTAGCATCAGCATGGCAGTTATGTACCTTAAGGGCACATTCATTTACGTCTATTACGTAAAAACAATTCTGCATTGGTTGACTTTTATCATATTAATCCCCGTAGTTGAGATAAAATGGTGCATTTTTTTTGACTTTTTTCATGTATCCGTTATCAATATTAAATTTAAAAACAAATCATATATTATAAAATTAAAATTCATCTAAGTTTTGGTTAGTCAATAGCAAATTTCAACTTCTTCTAAACCATTACCATGCAATCGTTCCTTTATATGACACATTGATATCAATTTTTATATAACATCGAATTTTCTGAAAACTCTTTTACTAATAAACGATTGTCTTTGACAGACATCAACGAATGCCAAACCACAGCCCTAGCAGTGTATCACAGTCACTACGCACACAATTGCCATGATGATGCTAACTGTACCAACACCAAGGGATCGTTCTACTGCACCTGTAATACGGGATACTCAGGAGATGGTGTCACGTGTGTTGGTAGGGACCCTTTAATTTACTGGTAGATTTAATATAATTTTTGTTATATTTATGGATTTAACGTCCTTTTTAGTTAAATTTCATATAGTCGAAAATAAAATCAATCAACTGTTATAAGTTTAACTTTTATTGAAATAAGTTGCAAATGATATCTTTGTTATTTAAGATATCAATGAATGTAAGATAACAGCTCTTGCAGTATACCACAATCACTACGCACACAACTGTCATGCTGATGCTAACTGTACCAACACCAAGGGATCGTTCTACTGTAGCTGTCATACGGGATACTCTGGAAATGGAGTCACGTGTGTTGGTGAGTTACAGTTGTATGAATATCTTTTGTTTGCTTGTTTAACGTTAAGTGTAATAGTCGTTTTATGGTATAACTCATTTCAATCAAGTTAGTACCCAAAGGATTATGGATAGATACATTTTGAAACTTTTCAATCACTTGATTAAGTTTTTGATGGACCTCTGTTCTTTTACCAGATTTAACTGTTTATAGTTTCACCTCCTATCAGCTTCCTCAAACWATTATTTTTAGAATAAGACCTTTTACTTGCACGATATGAAACGCTTCCCATGATCCTTATCGTTCTTTTTGGTGTCTTACTCTATTGAAATAAGTTTATATTTACTGATATTCGCCGTATAAGGTCAATTTAAAATGAATTTTAATTTTATAATACTGTATATGAATTACATTTAAATTTAATATCGATAACGGACACATGAAAAAAATTAAAAAAATACATCATTTTATCTCAACCACGGGGATTAATATGATAAAAAGCCAACCAATGCAGAATTGTTTTTACGTAATAGACGTAAATGAATGTGCCCTTAAGGTACATAACTGTCATGCTGATGCTAACTGTACCAACACCAAGGGATCGTTCTACTGTACCTGTCATACGGGATACTCTGGCGATGGAGTCACATGTGCTGGTGAGTATGTCAATTTACAAAACTACCTTCTCTTGTGATTTGATTTGTGGTGAAGCATAACATGTACATGAAAACAAACTTCCTTCCAACAGACATAAACGAATGTCAGACATCAGGTCTTTCCTCTTACCATGGTCACTACGCACATAACTGTCATGCTGATGCTAACTGTACCAACACTAAGGGTTCGTTCTACTGTACCTGTCATGTTGGGTATTCAGGAGATGGAGTCACGTGTGTTGGTAAGCTTGATATAAATCGGCCTCGTTTTTTTACATAGCCAGTAGCTATTAAATCTGCGGCCCTCGTTTATTGATTGATTCGAAATTCGGGTGTTAAATTTGCAGAGGGAGGAAAACCGGTAACTATAAAAAAACCCTCGAAGCACAGCAGAGAACCAACAAGCAACTCTACTGCAATACGAAACCGAGCCCGAGAATGGAATTCTTGTCGCATTAGTGAGAGTCCAGCGCTTTCACCGCTACGTCATCCGTCCTTCCGGTTAATGCGTGTTCAATCTTGCAGTCAAAACAGTGCCTGAGTGCAGTTATTTGGAAGGATCTTTTAATCATCTTGCCAGATGCATCTTCAGTCGAATTCTTCGTATTTAATAATTGCGTAAAATGTTACAGACCGAATAGGATCGATTACTTTAAATGATCGCTTTTTTTCCTCCTCCAGATATCAATGAGTGCCACTCCACGGCCCTAGCGGTATATCATGGTCACTACGCACATAACTGTCATGCTGTTGCTAACTGTACCAACACTAAGGGATCGTTCTACTGTACCTGTCATACGGGATACTCAGGAGATGGTGTCACGTGTGTTGGTGAGTAACAAATCCTTCGATTTCATTTGAGACGTTTTAAAATTTAACAATTTCACTTTTTACACAATGATAGATATCAACGAGTGCCAGACCACAGCCCTAGCAGTATATCACGGTCACTACGCTCACAACTGTCATGCTGATGCTAACTGTACGAACACCAAGGGATCGTTCTACTGTACCTGTCGTACAGGATACTCAGGAGATGGAGTTACATGTGTTGGTAAGCGTTTAATCAAGCCCGTCTTTGTTAATTTTTCAAACAAATGATATAAATGTGAACCTTCGCTTTACTAAACTGCAAATTAAATGACTATTTATATGAATTTCAGATATCAATGAGTGCCAGACCACAGCTCTAGCAGTGTATCACGGTCACTACGCGCACAACTGTCATGCTGATGCTAACTGTACCAACACAAAAGGATCGTTCTACTGTACCTGTCATGTTGGGTACTCGGGAGATGGAGTCACGTGTATTGGTTAGTCAATAGCAAATTCCAACTTCTTCCAAGCCATTACCATGCAATCGTTCCGTTATATGATATATTGATATTCATTTTTATATGATATCGAATTTTCTGAAAACTCTTTTACTAATAAACGATTGTCTTTGACAGACATCAACAAATGCCAAACCACAGCCCTAGCAGTATATCATGGTCACTACGCACATAACTGTCATGCTGATGCTAACTGTACCAACACCAAGGGATCGTTCTACTGTACCTGTCATACGGGGTACTCAGGAAATGGTGTCACGTGTGTTGGTAAGGAACCTTTAATTTACTGGTAGATTTAATATAATTTTTGTTATATTTATGGATTTAACGTCCTTTTTAATTAAATTTCATATAGTCGAAAATAAATTCAATCAACTGTTATAAATTTAACTTTTATTGAAATAAGTTGCAAATGATATCTTTGTTGTTTAAGATATCAATGAATGTAAGATAACAGCTCTTGCCGTATACCACAATCTCTACGCACATAACTGTCATGCTGATGCTAACTGTACCAACACCAAGGGATCGTTCTACTGTACCTGTCAGACGGGATACTCAGGAGATGGTGTCACGTGTGTTGGTGAGTTACAGTTGTATGAATATCTATTGCTTTCTTGTTTAATATTAATTTTAATGATCGTATTGTGGTACTACTGGTATAACTTATTTCAATCAAGTTAGTACCAAAAGGATTATGGGTAGATGCATTTTAAACTTTTCAATCACTTGATTATTTTTGATTGACTTCTGTTCTTTTACCAGATTTAACTTTTTAAAGTTTCACCTCCTATAAGCTTCCTCAAGCTATTTTTTTTAAAACATGCAAAACCTTTACTTGCACGATATGAAAAGCTTACCATGATCCTCATCGTTCTTTTTGGTGTCTTACTCTATTGAAATAAGGTTACATCTAGTGATGTTCGCCGTATAAGGTCAACTTAAAATGAATTTTAATTTCATAAATTATGAATTGTTTTTAAATTTAATATTGATAACGGATACATGAAAACAGTTTTTAAAAAACCATTTTATCTCAACTACGGGGATTAATATGATAAAAAGCCAACCAATGCAGAATTATTTTTACGCAATAGACGTAAATGAATGCGCCCTTAAGGTACATAACTGCCATGCTGATGCTAACTGTACCAACACCAAGGGATCGTTCTACTGCACCTGTCATACGGGGTACTCAGGAGATGGAGTCACGTGTATTGGTAAGTATGACAACTTACAAAACTATCTTCTCTTGTGATTGATTTGTTGTGAAGCATAACATGTACATGAAAACAAACTTCCTTCCAACAGACATAAACGAATGTCAGACATCAGGTCTTTCCCCTTACCATGGTCACTACGCTCACAACTGTCATGCTGATGCTAACTGTACCAACACTAAGGGATCGTTCTACTGTACCTGTCATACGGGGTACTCAGGAGATGGAGTCACGTGTGTCGGTAAGCTTTATAGAAATCGGCCTTGTTTTTTTACATAGTTAGTAGATAAAAAATCTGGGGCCCTCGTTCCATAATTGATTAGGAATATGGGCGTTAAATTTGGAAAACCGGTAACCCTAAAAAACCCTCGAATCACCGGAGACAACCAACAAGCAACTCTACTCCAATACGACACCGAGTCCGAGAATTGAGCCCTTTTCGCATTGGTGAGAGTCCAGCGCTTTCACCGCTACGTCATCCGTGCTTCCGGTAAATGTATGCTCAATCTTGCAGTCGAAACAGTGCCTGAGTGCAGTTATTTTGAAGGATAAATATCTTTTAATCATGACGCAAAATGCAGTTTAGCTAGTTATCTTTTCGAATTCTTTGTATTTAATACAATTGGATAAAATGTTATAGACCGGATAGGTTCTATTACCATGAATTATCGCTTTTTTTTTCCTCCTCCAGATATCAACGAGTGCTACTCCACAGCCCTAGCGATATATCATGGTCACTACGCACACAACTGTCATGCTGTTGCTAACTGTACCAACACAAAGGGATCGTTCTATTGTACCTGTCAGACGGGATACTCAGGAGATGGAGTCACGTGTGTTGGTGAGTAACAAATCCTTYGAGTTCATTTGAAATAGTTTGAAATCTAACAATTTAACTTTTTACACAATGATAGATATCAACGAGTGCCAGACCACAGCCCTAGCAGTATATCACGGTAACTATGCACACAACTGTCATGCTGATGCTAACTGTACCAACACCAAGGGATCGTTCTACTGTACCTGTCATACAGGATACTCAGGAGATGGAGTCACGTGTGTCGGTAAGTTTCGTTGAATTGGGTTTACGCCAGTTCATTTCCAGTTAGTCTCCTTATCGTGAATTCTGTAGACACGTCCAAGCTATCTGCTTATATTATTCTTTTGTCTTCCATTAAAACGACACTGAAATAATTCCGTTATTTCTGAACAGATATCAACGAATGTCAAACAACAGCTCTTGCCCCATCTCACGGTCACTACGCACACAACTGTCATGCTGATGCTAACTGTACCAACACCAAGGGATCGTTCTACTGTACCTGTCATACGGGATACTCTGGAGATGGAGTCACGTG